TTATGCAGCATTGGTACCGTGTTTCACTAACGCTCTTATTTCTGAATTTACAAACATATCCCCCTCAAAGCAAGGTTACAGTACCCTGATGTGTTAGATTTCTTAGAGTTACTTCTTACGTGATAAGATAGCTTAGGGAGCAGCATGCAAAAATGACTGGTGGTACATCTTAGCGTCATATTGAAAAGAATACCTGGATTTTGAAGCCGCAACCATTAGCACGATAGAAATTTAGTGATTTTTCTGAAGTCAGCTCCTTTCTATCTAATCCACACGTATTTCTCGGAAAATGCATTTGGCTCTGCAAGGTGTTTTGACTTCAGGAGTTTTACCCAGTGTGTACACCAATTTAGAGTTGCTACCTAAAAACGTAAGCTCTTGATGTTGTGGTAGATTTTAATGACAACTTGTACAACAAGCTCTTTTCCCCAAATCCTTTTATATTACTTTTCAGCACTCCAGGATTATACTACGCAGTGAACCTCTTGAGGGGGCTTATTTGCCTTAATCCCCATTCTCTTGATCTCAGGAAGAGCCCTGGATGTAATATTGGCCCCTTCATGCATGCGATACTTGGTGAAATCTCTCTAGTGTCCTGTCCTGCCCCCAGTTTTATGCTTGAGCTCTGTCCAAGGTAGAATACTTTGTTTTTGGTCTCTCTGAGGCATGGGCCCAAGAATCGTTTTGAATTTCCTAGTTCATATAGCTGTTGTCTCCTTATCTAGCTGAGAGACAACCACACTTAATAAATTTCTACATCCTAGTCAAAAGGGTTATAACTACATGTCATTTTAAATGCCCACATGAAACACTTAACCATCATGATGAAATACTGGGCTTTAGGGCAAACCATGATACATTGCAGAGGACTGAAATCCCACAGTGTGTTCTCTCTCCACAGATTCTGCAAGCTAGAAATCTGTCTAAGAAGAAAAGTAATAGAAAACCGGCAACTTCTTTGAAATTCAGCAATACATTTATAGAAAAATGACACCAATGAAAATGGAAAAGGAATCTTCATGGGCCATGAAGAAAAAACGATGGAAAAGAAATAGATGCATCCAAACATGAGTATGAACATTCAAACCACTGGAGGGCAAAGGGGACATATTTCTTCTGATGTTGCTCCTAATCCTGCTCTAAATTG